ATATTATTCCACCTCTACCATATTGTCTTTTAAGTTATATTAGTTAACTATTTCCATGAAGACTCAAATTCTATCTTAGTCATAAGGTCCATCCAATATAGCTGTACATTCATCATTAAAAATTATTATTGAGAAAAAAGTTTTCATGTACTTCTTTGCCCAATTTAAATGTTTCTGATTGTGATGTTTATTTAAGGTTGAAAGTTTGGTTACTCCCATATTTTTAGCCAGTGTTTTGAGTATTCTAAATGTTTTCTCTGTATTTACATTCACAATATCATTTTTAAAAAGTAATTTCTTCCTAATTATGATTTTAATTTTCCATATTTTTGCAACATTCTTAAACTCATTTTTATTATTGTCTTGCAATTTTTTCAATTCCTATTTTGATTGTTCGATGATATCTGCTCAACATTTTCAAAATCTCCAATGTCGTATTTCTATTGTCTTGTGTTCTTTTCACTATATTCTTTCTCTTTTGAGGTCATATCTTTATTACAATCTTTACATGTCAAATGTAAATATCAATAAGTATACAATTATATATATATATTTAGAATATGAACAATCCTTGAGTTGCATAATAAAATCTGCTGAAAATAAGATGAAATTTATATGGTATAGTCATAATATATATAAAAGAATTTTCTCAAAAATTTTTAAGGATTGGTTGGTTATCTTATTGTGATAAATTTGATTTGTATAATCAAACCTTATACTCTCTCTATCTCACACATACACAAATCAATAAATTCCTAGCATAATAAATAGTTATTTGCTGAAATTTGTTCTGAAATTATTACTAGATAATATTTAATTGACATGATTAATATTCTTTAGTGAATAAACAGTGTAATATAAGTGAAGGAGATTATGTTGAAAAATAAATATTTGTAGCAGAAAATATTGTTGCCATTATTAGTGTATGGATTTATTGATATATCTACATATATATATACAGAGATACTACATAGAATTTACATGTCATAGTCAAAACAAAAACTTACTTTTTCTAAAATGAAAAGAAAGAGTAACAATGCAAATGTAACAGTTTCAAAAAATATTTAATTATCTTTAAGTGACAAAGTCTTTTATTGTGGAAGGTGTTGAAGAATGAAGAAAACCAAATGAGAAAAACAGACAAAACTGCACAAAAATGTTTTGAAAATATCTTCATAAAGATTTTAAGCATTGGCACCTGATGCTAGATGTAAACTAGTAAAGAGTTTACCTTGTAGCATGTACCCTAGAACAAACAATACACAAACATGTGCAAACACCTGAATACATACTCACAGATGCAAGCACATATCTAAAAGAAAAAGCACATATACATACATATCTATAAACTTGCACATTCATATACAGTGAGGAAAATAAGTATTTCATCCCCTGCTGATTTTCTGACTTTGCCGCCTTACAAAAATGGGAATGGTCTATAATTTTCAGGGTAGGTCTGTCTTGAAAGTGAGAGATAGAATATAAAAATATTCTAAAAAATCACATTATATTAATTTTTGAACATTTATTTCTTTTTCATTGAAAAGAATAAATATTTCACCCCTGACCAACCAGCAATGATTCAGGTCCCACACACCGGTTATGTGAGCAGGAGGCATATAGACTAGTCCTGTTACTCAATTATTTACTTCTAATCAAGTACTCATTACCTATATAAAAGACACTAGTTCACAGAATCCTTCAATGAATCAGAATCTAATCTCTCCACAATAGGCAAGATGAAAGAATTGTCTAAAGACATCCAGGACAAAACTGTATACCTGCACAAGACTGAAATGGGATAAAAAGCAATTAGCAAGCAGCTAATTGAGAAGGAGTCAACTGTTGGTGCAATAATAAGAAAATGGAAGAAACACCAATTGACTATCAATCTCCCTAAGTCTTGAGCTCCATGCAAAATCTCCCAATGTGGAGTGAACCTAATGATGAGAAATGTGAGGGAACAACTCAGAACTATGTGGCAAGAGCTTGTTGATGATCTCAAAGCAGCTGAGGTCACAGTCACCAATTAGTAACACCACTTTGTAGTGGACTGAAATCATGTAGTGCCCACAATGTCCCCCTACTCAAGGAGGTACATATACAGGCCCATCAGAAGTTTACAAATGAGCACCTGGATGATTCAGAGGAGGGTTGGGAGAAAGTGCTGTGGTCAGACGAAACTAAAATTGAGCTTTTTGACATCAACTCAACTTGTCGTGTTTGGAAGAAAACAAAGCTGACTTGGATCCCAAGAACACTATCTCAACTATTAAGCATGGTGGTGGAAACATTATGATTTAGGGCTGTTTCTCTGCTAAGGAGACAGAATCAAGGAAAAGATGGATGGGTCCAAGTACAGGGAAATCTTGAGTGAAAACCTGCTTGCTTCAGCCAGGACACTGAAAATGAGTCATGGGTGGTTGTTCCAGCATGGCAATGACCCAAAGCATATGGCTAAGGCAACAAAGGAGTGGCTCAAGAAGAAGCACATTAAGGTAATGGAATGGCCTAGTCAGTCTCTGGACCATAATCCTTTAGAGAACCTGTGGAGGGAGCTGAAGCTTTGAGTTGCACGACGACAACCTACAAACCTTAAGGATTTGGAGAGGATCTGCAAAGAGGAGTGGGTCAAAATCCCCACCTGGGATCTGTAAAAAAATTGGTAAACCAACTACAGGAAACATCTGGCTGCTATGCTTGCCAACAAGGGTTTCTTCACCAAATACTGATTTATGTTTTTGCTATGGGGTGAAATACTTATTTTTTCAATAAAAAATAAATGTTCAAAAATTAATATAATGTGATTTTCTAGAATTTTTTTATATATACTACTATTTCCTGGTCAGATTTAAGTCTGGCCATTAAGTTTTTATTTACATATATATATATATATATATATATATATATATATATATATGTGTGTGTGTGTGGAAGTAGAAAATAAAGCTTATATTGAGCAGATTGTTCTGGCTTTCTGTAGATAAACAGAAACAAAAGGATGGCCTGATAGTGTTAGACCTGCCTCTGAACAACCTTCTACTAAAAGATGTATGATCAAGAATATTTCTTGATGTCTTGGAGTAAAGACCAAGTATTCCAGTAGATTTGGCATCTACCCACATAAAAAATTATGCTTTGCAATTACATCTACTAAATGACATTGACAGGGCAGAGTAAAGATAAGTCTTCATTGAAGAAATGTTTATGGAAGTTATGATATAAAGATATATATATCAGACTAATGCTGGATAATTGAATAAAAAGATGGAAAAAAATTACATTATGTGTTTTGTCACTAGAAAAGACTTCTTCAGACAAATATTCAGTTTTATCAATGGAGTTCTATATATATAACATGGGGAAGAAATAGAATAAATACCAGTTACAATTCTAAGTGCTTATATATTTAATTTAGATGGAATATGTATTGACTGCTTATTCTCAGGTAGGAATGATCATGAATCAAAAGTTACATACTTGATTGGGTTGTATCATTTCTCATCCCACTTGTAAGGTGAAGGATAAACAGTTAAAGCAGAAAAAGTACCATGATCAACATGCCTATCAATAAGAGTTGAAAGAAGATTGTGTGTTTGTGACATTACATAAAAAAAAACTGTCAGTGGCTATTAGGAACAGTGAAAGTCAAATTGATTCTTGTAACTTATGTTATATAAATCATGATGGTTAGAGTGTCAAATGATATATGGTTTGATTTGGTTGATTTTGTTTAGTTGGATATCAACCTCTATAGGTTGAAATGCTGAAATTGAAATATTTTGAATGCAATTGCATGCTTTCAACTACAGATAAAATGTATCATTGGTAATTCTGCTATAAAATGTATTGCTAGTCATAAAAAGAATTATTTTTATACTTGCATAGTGTTCTATTTTTGTTTGGGGGTTCACTATTCACCCATTGCTGGAGCCCTAACAAATGCTTACTACCCCATGTCAGGGTGAACCTGGAAACAACAGCAGTTAACAGGTGGTTCTATGCTCATCAGAACCTCCAATTTTCCAAATGCAGGCCTTGCTGCTGGATGTAGTTTATTGTTATATCCAGGACTTCAAATGATATATAGATCATGTGAAACCCAAGTATGATGTTACTACAAATGCATATGACCCACTTTGATGAATATCAGCCAGAACCTCCAGACTTACCTGTGTTAGAAAAATCTATTATACATGAGATTTACCCTCCAGCTGAGGTGTCAGTTTTTGCAACAGTAGCAAGAAGCCACAAAATCTCTCTTGTGGTGACAGATTCTCCAATTCCTGCTTTAAGATAATTTACATGTGTGAAGAAAATGCCAGAGAAACAAAATTTACAGAGGGACTGAATCATATCTAAAAAAAACTTCACACAGACAATTACTATTCAGGTTGAGTAGACAATTTTGTAATTGGTTTATTATAAACAACTTGATTTGATTTTGCAATCATTCTGAGCAGATGAACATAACCAACCTGAATCATTGTTTTGAGAATTCAAAATATTTCAGAATTATTTTATCTATTGTTGTGGTGTTGATGTTGTTTATTACATTCTTTAGAGTAAATATAGATTTATATGACCTAAGCCATCAAAAAAAAAAGAGGAATATAGCAATTTGTCTGTACATCCAGACTAAGAGTTATCTCTACCTTAATTTAGGAATCAACCAACACCTTAGCTACTTTATATTGACTACTGAGATGGCATCAGATTGATTTATTCATTTCCTATTGATTATCAACCATTGCTGTTTATTTAAAGCCAGAAAATATTTTTAGATTATAAGAATTTTTTTCTTTTTGGAGATAATAATGACTTTAGTGATACAAGTCTTACTAATTAACCCAGAGCTTGGGGGAGAAGATGTGGATTCATGCCTTTTCCAAAGGTATTGGCACATAAAGGAACATAATGAACACAACTGGAATTAGAACTCAGCTCTCAGATTAACAATTCCAAGACATTATTGATTATACCACATACATACATCCAAGCTTACAGCAGCTGGTATTCCCAAGCAGTCACCCATCTAGGTACTGACCAGGCTCCATGTTGCTTAACTTTAATGATCCTATGGAAACTGGTGTTTCAACATGATGTGGCTGTAAGCTGGATGACATCAGAGATCAAGCACAATGTGAAGGGGCAGTGAGAACTATATGAGGATGGCCAAATATATATTTTATGTGACAACTAGTTACTTAATAAATAATCTTTTCTTATTTTACTGAACCTTTTGTAATTATATAAAGTTACCACATATACATGTGTGCATTCAATATTTATATGCTTAACTAAGAACTTTTGATGGAAAACTTAATAGTGAATATAACATGTTTTAAATTCTAAAATCACGAGAGTATTAGATACTTTGAGACATAACAGGATGTGACAAATTACTCAAAAGGGGGACAACTCTAGCAATGGAGAGTCAAAAATGTGAGTGATAAATATGAATGTGTCGGGACAATAATTCAGAGGTGGTAACAAGACAAAGAGTTAAGTTTGTTGAGATGACAATGATCATGTCTAAATGAAAAATTAAGAATTAGGTGACTTTGGTATTTGTTTTTTCTTCTTTTTCTTGATCATTTCACCCCAAGCAAGGTGATAATGCCACTAGGACACAAGGGGTTATAGTGAGTGAATGAGAACAAGAAGACATTAGTGAGGAGGAAGGACAATAATGGGACAGGGTTCAGGAAGACAGAAGATGGCAATTAGCATTGCATTTAAATTTTTAAAGATTGTAGGTAGAATGGAAGCAAGAACTCAGAACGGAGTTTCACAGATGAGAAGTGCAAGAAAAGAAACTATTAGAATAGAACTGACAGGTGTATCTAGCTAGTTCAACAGAAAAATGGTGAGACCTAGTTACCAATATAGTAATTCCTGCAATCAAGGTACAAAGGAGGAAAGCTCATTAGAATAATTGCCATGAAAATATTTATAAAAAAGACCGAGGGAAGTCATGCCACATTAGAGAAAAAGTAACTGAAGTTGAAATGCTAGGAATTCTCTATGGCTATAAACTTCAAACAGTTTTTATTTTGAGGCATTAAAATTTACAAACCATTCCTTGCCTCAGTTAATCACTGACTGGAGGTTTTTTTGAGAACAGTTAACAGTTTTACTTTCAGATTTGCTACTAAGACATATGTAAATAGTTGTGTCCTCTGCATAAATACCTAGTTGAGAACTGTTGACATTGAGAAGGTCATTGATGGAGATAAGAAAGAATGTAAATCCAACAATAGAGCCCTTGGGAACTCCTGCATGAATGTGAAATGATCTAGAAGCATGTCCATTCAACACAACCTTTATTGCACTTCATTGCTAGGATGGAATCAAATATTCATCCAGAGACACCATAACCTTTGAGCTTGTGAAGAGGACAAGCATGTCAAATCAATTTGAACACATCTGAGATATCTAGAGTCACTGTTTTTATCCAAAAGGAGGCCATGTGAAGTTAGATATTTAACCAACTTGGCATTGATTAGAGCCTCTAGTACTAATGATAATTTGAGAGGTCAGAAGGTTCCTCAGAGTTCTTAGATAGAACTTCTAGCAAACTGGAAAATAAGAAGCAGTGAAGCATTTATTGTAAAGTTTGGAGAGAACAGGAATCAGTTCAGAAGCATATTTCTCCAGGACAGCAGTAATATTGAATCTGAAAGACTTGTGGGGATCTAGTTTAGAGAAGATAGCAGAGACCAAGGACAGAGTCATGTGCATGTCACTCAGTTCTTATGTGGAGCTGAAATTCTTGGTTATAAAATTGAAGAGTTAAATACAAATGCATTGTTCAACAAAAAAAGGGTGATTGCTTTTTTTTTACCTGGATACTGAGAGAAAAGAAATTGAGGTTTGACATAATAATTCAATATATAGATTGCAAGAACAGAATTTGTTATTCATTTTTGTTAAAATTTGAACACCTGCATTTCAACTTTTCATTTTTTTTGTAATTTCTGGGATGAGGAATTATTTGTATTTACAACTGAGCTATTGTCCTCATCTTTGTTGTTATTATCATGTTTTGGCCAATGTGCACTCCAGCTTTCATCAGGTGGTTACTGATCCTGGTAACTTTTAGGGAATATAAATTCAAACCAAACCTTTTATTTAATCTACAGGACAGACTGTTCTCATTCTACATGTCTAAGGATATTTCATCATGTTATTTTTTTAGTCCTGTTCAGTTTCTGTTTCCAATGAGTCTAAATCTGCACTACCCAGCCCATAGATTGAACTCACATTTACTATTTCACCAAATTCACAAATCAATGTTTTATTCAAGTAGGCTATTTTCTTCTTTGTATTTATGTTCATTTGTCTTTTAGTTTTAGTTTTGTAATTAATATTAGTTTGAAATTTTGAAAATTTTTTCTTGGAATCTGGAACCAAAAGACAACGCAACAAAATATCAACATTCTCACATACCAATTTATGCTGCTGACTTGGTAGAACAGACATTTACTGGATATCAACTAAATGTCTATTCAAAAAAAGCCAATAAACTGGTTAATTTCTATCTTGAGACTTTTAATAAAGTTAAACATTAAAGCACAAAGAAATACTGTATATCAGTATGGTCATAAGAACTCAGTTTTTCAGAATGTAGAGTTGTGTTGACTTCCATGAATATACTTTCTAGCTTAAAGCTTGTGACCTGCACCACTCAAAATTGGCTGGTTCAAGAAGTTACAATAATTCTTTGTATTTATCCTGATATAATCATCCACTTTGAAAAGATCTATAAGTTTACTGTTTACAAAATGTCTGCTTTTGAATCTAGTTTTTCAGACTATTATTACTGTAGTGGTTCTAATCACTTTTCAGTCTGATGCTGTACTGTACTAAGTCAATCTTAGCACATATCAACAATCTTATTTAAGTCAAGAAGTTCCCAGATAACAAAGCATCATACATCATATGACTTACAATTTGCAGCATTTTTTTTTTGCATTTCTCTCATGTAGATCAATGAAAGTTGTTGTAAATGGTGAGTTTTCTGGAAGCTCATGAGATTAATGCTGTGGTATCCAAAGGTTCTCTCCTCAATCCTACCCTTTTTCTGCTTTTTATTAACAGTCTGCCTTGGGAATTCTTAGATCATTAATAAACACATATTCTGATGAAACTACAGTTTACAGAAGCACCTCTAAAAATCAAGATGTTCAGATGTTTACAGCTGACCTCTCTCTGCTGACCTTGTTCTAACAGCTCAATGGGGGAAAAACTAGCTTATAAATTTCAATACCTCTAAAACTAAGCTAAAACCATTACATTATCACTGATCGGACCCTGAGCTATCTCCTGTCACACTCTCAATAAGGCTCCATGGTTTAAGCATCTATTGAGTCACTTCAGATTTAAATGGAATATATATATACAATGCTTTGGTAAAGATGTTGGGAAAATAGTTGTCCCTTGTACCACTCCTGAAGGTACTTCACTTCATGCTTTATCTTTAAAAGAGTTAGATTAAACCACCAATGGATTATCACTGCTACATCTAAGCTGGAGAGGCCCAAACTTCACTTTCTAATCTTGATAGAGTTCAAAATCATCTTGTAGGGGATGTGTCTTATTTTTCACTCAACAGCCTCTTTCCCACAGATGCAACATTGCAAGCTTATTTACATGGCAATACACTCCTTAGCCTCATAATCTTCATTTCTTTCTACCATCTCTTATGTTCATATAACACACCTCATTAAGTTACCTCCTGCCATGAGTGACTCTTGAGCCTTGTAGTTGGTAAACATTAGTATAAAAATATCTAAGTTTCTTTTCTCACACTTCTCACCGGTGAAACTCCCTTTCAATTTCTTTCTTCCTTGAGAACTACAATCTTCAGAAATGTAAATCACCATCTTTTGTCTTCTTGAACCCTGTTCCTTCTTTGTGCTTTCCTCAATCCTCCCCACTAAAGCCTTCAGATTCTCTTTCGCTTCCTGTAACCCCCTGCATTCCAGTGGGCATTATTGAGAGATATCCATTCTTTGAGTTGATAATTGTTTTCCATAACCTAATAATTAGGATACACTGGGGATAAATGAGTAGCATGTTTTAGTGTACCTAATAAAAAAATGTTTATAGTAATATATATATATATATATATATATGAGTGTGTATGTGTTTGTGTAAAATGTGTGTGTGTATGTAGATATAGTAGGCTGATGAAAGAAATTAAAGAGATAAAAACAAAAAAAAAAGAATAATATTGATAAGACTAATAATAGTTATTGTATATTAGTAACCTTTTGACTGCTGGTTGTTTGTTATGATTAACATTGTAGAGAGGTTTATAGATGTCTTTTTGTGGAAACTGTATTCATTGAGTATGGCTAAATTTCTATTAAACCTAGAATGTGTGAATTTATTTAAAAAAATAATCTATCTATCTATATATATATATATATATATATATATATATATATATATATATATATATATACATTATATTTTTTAGATAAATATATTTGAGTTGTAATCATCATTTTTTTAAAGTGTAATACATATCTACTGACTGATTCAAGAGTCTTAATCCTTATTCATTCATTATATACTAGCTTAAAAGCCACCTGATAGGGCAGCATTTAAGCTAGCTCCTACAGAGGACTCTTGATTGGGAGTTCATCATAGTAGCTAGGGAGGAGTAGATGTGATAGGCAACAATGAACTATAGAAGAACTCACAACTGATTGCTGCATTTAGCTATTGCATTAATATCTAAGCTTACCTTTTCAAAGTTCAATGATAATTCCTCTGCCGCCACTTAATTTAAAGACAATGTAATGTATGTAGGTCCTTACTTTCCATACAAATAATTATTTTTATTTTATGGGTGACTTGCTGAATTTCATAATTAATTTTGATTATTCCCAAATTTATTTCCAAGTTATAAAATTATTATTGTACAAAAAATTTGTAACAAAAAATCACATGCAAAAATCACTTAAAAAATCACAGTAATGAAAACTTGAGAATCCAAAATTTCAGGATTGCAGGTATGGATCCAAGCCAGAATGTTTTTAAATTGCTCACAGAGTCGACCTGATTCCATAATGGTATGATATGTTGGGCTATGGCCTCTAG